ATGTTTCAGATTGTCAAACAAATTTATATATTAGTCAAAGATAACACAAGTCAACACATCATGCAGTTTTTAAATGAAGGTTTTTATTATTAAGGGAAAACAAAATCCAAAACTATATAGCCCTGTGTGAACAAGTGTTTGCCCCCCTGTCAAAACACTGGTTTATCGCACCTGAGTTCAATTTCTCCATTCAGAAGTGGACTTGCTGGTGTGCTTTGGATCATTGTCCTGCTGCAGAACCCAAGTTCGCTTCAGCTTGAGGTCACAAACGGATGGCCGGACATTCTCCTTCAGGATATTTTGGTACACAGCAGAATTCATGGTTCCACTTATCACAGCATGTCTTCCAGGGCCTGAAGCAGCAAAACAGCCCCAGACCATCCCACTACCACCACCATATTTTACTGTTGGTATGATGTTCTTTTTCTGAAATGCGGTGTTACTTTTACGCCACACATAATGGGACACACACCTTCCAAAAAGTTCAACTTTTGTCTCGTCTGTCCACAGAGTATTATCCCAAAAGTCTTGGGGATCATCAAGATGTTTTCTGGCAAAACTGAGACGAGCCTTTATGTTCTTTTTGCTCAGCAGTGGTTTTCGTCTTGGAACTCTGCCATGCAAACCATTTTTGCCCAGTCTCTTTCTTATGGTGGAGTCATGAACACTCAGCTTAACTGAGGCAAGTGAGGCCTGCAGTTCTTTGGATGTTGTTGTGGGGTCTTTTGTGACCTCTTGGATGAGTTGTCGCTGCGCTCTTGGGGTAATTTTGGTCGGCTGGCCACTCCTGGGAAGGTTCTCCACTGTTCCATGTTTTCGCCATTTGTGGATAATGGCTCTCACTGTGGTTCGCTGCAGTCCCCAAGCTTTAGAAATGGCTTTATAACCTTTTCCGGACTGATAGAGCTCCATTATTCTCTTTCTCATTTGTTTTTGAATTTCTTTGGATCTCGGCATGATGTCTAGCTTTTGAGGATCTTTTGGTCTACTTCACTTTGTCAGGCAGGTCCTATTTAAGTGATTTCTTGATTGCGAACAGGTGTGGCAAGAGAAATTGAACTCAGGTGCGATAAACCAGTGTTTTGACAGGGGGGCAAACACTTGTTCACACAGGGCTCTATAGTTTTGGATTTTGTTTTCCCTTAATAATAAAAACCTTCATTTAAAAACTGCATGATGTGTTTACTTGTGTTATCTTTGACTAATATATAAATTTGTTTGACGATCTGAAACATTACAGTGTGACAAACATGCAAAAAGATAAGAAATCAGTAAGGGGGCAAACACTTTTTCACACCACTGTATGTCTTGGAAGCCCAAGCCTGGATAACATACATGCACTATCTTCACTCACATTGTACATGGACATTGTAAATTATCTCATTTTTGGAGTGCTTACACTTTGCATGATTTTAAACATAATAAATCCCTAGAAGTTCATAAACAGTTCTGCAGTGGCTGGGTGAAAGATGTGCTAAGCCAACCTGTGTTGTAACCGCAAGAGCACAGTTATATTCACAAAGGTATCACTCCTGTTTTTGATCCAATTATTAAAACAAAATACAAAACTTTCAACAGTTATAGGCAATGGCTTTGATCAGTTAAAAAGATGCAGGGTTTTACATTTGTAGTGGCCAGACCCAATAGGTTTAGTATTTGATAATGCCGAGTATAAATGGAGAATGCATGCAGCAGCACTGACCTACCATAGGGGTGTTTTTCAGAATACACAGATGATTAAAACAGCCTCCCAACTCACCAACAAAAATGCAGCAGGATCCTCAAAACATTGGCCCATTACTCCAAATTCGAATTTTTTCACTCTGCTCTCAGGACCTGTCACCACGCTGAAACTGTTTCTAAGTGTTAGTTATCATAATGCAATATCAGTCCATGCTGTTATAAACCTGCTCGGCCCATGACGTGAACCCTTTCTCCAGCACAAATCTGCTGCACCTTTGAAGCTGTTTTTAACTCAAGCCTTTGCCCAAGCAAAGAGAAAATACACAGCAGCTTGACCTAGTCATATATTTACATTGTACTGCATCTGCTTAGACCAAGCTGCCATGGTTGATACCCTGGCTTGATAGGCAGCTTCATCTGAATATCATGGCCTACTCACTAGTACAGCTGTTATCCATACTTATCTAGCTCTACTAGTGCTAGTAACCAGTTATATCAGAAAATAATCACTCTCATGTCTTAAAGCACCTTCTAGAATCCCATCCTTTCCCAAGCTTTCTTTTGCGCTCTCTCTCTCTCTCTCTCTTTTTAAGTTAAATTAGTATGCTGGCTGCTGCCCTCTCCCACAGCTCTCTCTTCTTGACCCTCTCTTGCTGCTTCAGCAGCACTGGTTGGAACCAATAAGTATTTAAAAACGAATCACCTGGATCGCTAATCACACTAATCAGACTTATCAGTTTTCATATGACTTTTGATATTCCCATCAACTGAGGGGGAAAACATTCATCATCACAGTTCATTGGCTAGCATTAAGTTTATCCAATGGCAGAACAGTTCATATATATCCATACTATATACAGTGTGCTGACCTCAGCAACAGCTGTATACTAATGTTAGCTTAGCCAGCCTTACGAACTTGCTAATAACTTACTAGAAGAGTTGGATCTCCATGAATGACAGAGTTGTGTTTAAAAAAACAAAGAGAGGAGGAGCTCTTCATAGATGCTCCATCATCATGGTTGTCATGTGTTTGTGTGTGTGAGAGAGAAATAGAGTAGGGCATGGAGGGACTGAGCGAATACATACACTATGCATGGCACTACACTGAAATAGGAGTTAACCTATTTTTAAATCAATATGTGGTGGACAGTGTTGTTACTGTGGTAGCCCACCACACATAAATCAACGTATGGGAAACGCTGCTAGTGTCATGCCATGCCATCAAACTGCCTGAGCCACCATATAAGCCAAATAATATTCACCCCATCTGCCTAATCCACCAAATGAAAATACTTCCAGTACCTGCTCTTAGCACCACAACACACATTCTGTATAAAGCATCATAACTTCTGACTACAAGTTCTTTATCTTTGTCCCAGACGCTCACTTTTCATCTTCCCCACACCTATTCACTTGAATTGGCTGCAGTGTTGGCCATGTTTTTCACTGCCTGATTTATTCTTGGTCCTTGTATACCAAGTTCAGTTAACAGGGATCTGCCAGCAAACTTCACAGCCAAACCCCACTGGCGGACCTTAGTTTTCCAAGTGGGACTCCTTTGCCCTTGTTAAATCTGTATATCTAAGCTTTGTCCTCTTGTAAGCCATTTCAACTGCAGACTCTCATAGTAAGTCATTCTACAAAATACATAATCCATTGTGATTTTGACCAAAACACAAGATTGCACTTTAGATAAGTGGTACAGTAGCTACTGTATCTCCTGAGGGACTAAGAGCAATTTTCCTAAATCTATTTTTATTTACTAGGCCCTTCCTCCCTTTAGTTCTCTTACATTTTGTCTGATCAATGTTGCTTGCTTTCCAACTTCTTCACCCTCATGAACAAATAAAATTTGCTTCCATTTTGAATCCAGTGAGTTTACCTCTAAGCACTTATTCTCAGTGACTGCTGCTAGACAGAATATGTGGAAGTGAGGCAGCACCTGAACACAACAGACATGTTGGGTCCTTGCACTGTATATGACCAGACCAATTGGAAAATGAATTTGGTTTCTCTGGCCTTGCTCTTGCTTAAGACCTACTTACAGTATCTGAAAAAACAGTGTTTCCTCTAATAATGCTCCATCAATATTTTCTGATGTGAAATATGCAGTACCCCAGGGTCTTGTTCTTGGCCCTCAGCTCCCCTCTCTTTATATGTCACCTCCTGGACAAATTATACACAGTCAAGGAATTCATTTCCACTGCTATTCTAATGATACACAGCTGTATGTGCCTGTACAGAAAGATGGCCCATGTCAAATTATTAAATTAGAAGCTTGTCTGTCTGCAGTGAATAGCCAGATGTCACATAACTTCCTGAACCAAAATTCAGATAAAAATGAAATGCTGGTCATTGGTTTGGCTCACCGCACACACCAGTGTGATCAGTAAACAGTAATTCTGATAATTATGAAAGCTGTGTGATCACTCACTGTTAAATTTGTTCCTACTCTCTCTTTTGACCAGCATATTTAAGACATTGTTACAGCCACCTTTATTCACCAGGTGCAACTTAACTAAAATTCTGGAATTTTTAGAGTGACCCTAATTCATAATTTTGTCATTAGGACTTTAGGAATATTGTTTTCAGACCGGTCACATGCTAGTTTGAGCCTGGGCCGACCCGGGGCCTTTCTGTGTGCAGTTTGCATGTTCTCCCTGTGCCTATGTGGGTTCTCCCCAGGTACTCTGACTTCCTCCCACAGTCCAAAAACATGCAGCTGTCTGTCTAGATGTCTTGTCTGTCTACATGTCAGCCCTATGATAGACTGGCAACCTGTCCAGGGTGTACCCCGCCTCTCGCCCAATGTCAGCTGGGATTGGCTCCAGCCCCCTCACGACCCTCTTTAGGATAAGCGGTATAGATAATGGATGGATGGGATGTGTCCTTTCTTCTGTATGTATAAATGGGTGTGTTTGAGTTTTTATGGCTGTGTAGTAGTTCAATTTTTTTGGAAGCAAGAAATTGCTTGGCATCCTCCTGGACCATGTTGTTCATAATGAGTATGATTATAATCTATTCATATTTTGTCACCCTGATTGTCCATATTGTAAACTTCTTAACATGTGCACATCTGTTTGTCATGGAAGAGGGATTCCTCTGTTGCTCTTCCTGAGGTTTCATTCTTTTTTCCCTATTAAAGAGTTTATGGGGAGTTTTTCATTATCAGATTTAAGGGTCTGAGGACATGACTTGTATTCTGTACAAATCTTTAAGCCCCCCGAAGCAAATTTGTGATTCTTGATATTGGGCTATAAATACTGTAAATAAAACTGGCTTAATTTGACAAAACCGCTGACCCCTGCTGTGTCCCCTCACCTGTCATAGTCTCCATTACAAAGCGCTCGAACGGGGATGGTAAATGGCTGCCAGACAGGGTTCAGATTGTTCTTGATCACTTCAGTCTTGTGGCAGATGGTAAACCTGGAAATACAAAAAAGGCTCAAAATGAGGCTCAAAAGTCAGGAAAAAAAATTTGCTTTTGATCATAAAATATGGGTGATTGACAATAGGCAGGAAATCAAAACAGAGGTTCTGACAGTGCTTCGAGCTCCACGGCCTATTGTGTGTAATATGTTAAGGTCAGAGTCTAACTATTTGCTTTATGGTTGAGTATAATACAGAGTTGATCATGAACTGTATGTCTGATATGCTGGAGTAAAGATGAGAACTTTCTGTCTCAGTGTCAGGAAAATCTGTTAGCCCTGTTTCCAGCTGACAGGCAAGAAACTTTCACACTCCTCATGGGACTGGAATCAAAACAGACAACTGCTGGCAGATTTTAAGTCACTGTCAATAACAAGGTATGACTTGTAACAGAGGAGTAACACACTTGTCTTACCTGAATCTGAACAACATATGAACTGCACTGCAAAGATTTACAGTCACTAAAAAACATACACACACACACACACACACACAAAATAAAACAGCACACTTACGTCCCATCCTCATTGCTGCGGTAGAAGACAAGAAATGGGTCAGACTTTCCGAAGAAATCCTTTTTGTCCAGTTTGTTGGCACAGAACTGCATAGTAGCTATATCCTGAGACAAAAACAAGGGTTAATTGTTTACATCTGTCATTACGTTTTCCAAGTTTGGTTTAGTTCAGGCTTACACCTGGCCTTTGAATTTGCCATAGTTTATTCATGAGTTCACTTGGACCTGAATCTTATCACCTGAAAGATCTGATACCATCCTCTCAAAGAAAGGCCCATTGGACCTGTTCAGGACTGTAAACCATCATTTTATATGAGACAAACCTTTACTGCATACATATTAAAAACAAAAACTAAAAAAATCTAAGTTAAATGCAATGGCTGATTATGCTGTGAACTGTTATGTGAGTTGATTGATTGATTGATTGATTGATTGATTTTATTCTTTCAAACATGCAGAACAGAACAAATGAACAAATGACAACAACACACATAATTACACATATCCAACCAATGCTAATCCAAAATCAGTTTGCTTACACATATTACATGTTTGAATGGAGTAGGAAGAAGTCAGACTTATCCAGTCCTACCCCATGACATCATATTATACAAAAATTAATGCATCATTGGCTGCAAGCAGTATCTCTACATAGATAAAACAGTGTTTCCTTAATGCCTTCTCGAATAAATCTTATTCTTGCATATATCTTGTATAACACATACATTTATATTTATGTTTAAACTCCTCAATTCTAGTACTATTTTTCATGTCCACAGTTAAATTATTCCATAATTTGACCCCACTTATAGAAATACAAAATCTTTTTTTGGTTGTACGTATAGCATGAACCCTTAAATTTAAGTGACCCCTTAAGTTATATCCCCCTTCCCTTTCATCAAATAACCTTTGGATTCCACCAGGCAATAAGTCGTTCCTGGCTTTATACATAAACACAGCAGTCTTATAT